TTTATGCAGCAGGATTATGCCTACCTGAAACAATATGCGCGCGCCTTGTCCAAGGCTGTAGCCCACCCCGCTTCCAATTTGGAAGATATGAAATCATGTACTGCCATGTCCAAAGCGGTACTAGATGAAATGCAGCTCCATGTCCGGGTATGCGAAAGGCTGGGTATTTCCTCCAAAGACATGGAGTCCACCGTGGAGAGTCGTGCTACAGTGGCATACACGCGCTTCTTCTTGGATGTGGCAGATGAAGGTCTCTTGCCTCTTATGATCTCTCTTGCCTCCTGTGCAGTGGGATATGCAGAAGTGGGCTTATGGCTCGAGAAAGAACGAGATACAGGCAGGATGCACCCCAGCGGCATCTACAATGAATGGGTCTCAGAGTACGCAGGTGATGCCTACCAAAACGCCATTGCCAACTATGTGGAGTTGGTAGAAGACTATGCACAGCGAGTCGCGGTGTCGGAGTCACAAGCGGCGCGTCTCCAACAGGTGTGGGATGCTGCCACTCGTTTTGAAATCGGCATGTGGGACGAAGCCCTAAGTGTGGGTTCCCAGGCTTGATTTATTCGTCATCGTATGTGAATTTGATAGAATGAGAGCCCTGGTCTATAACACCACCGCGATAACTGCCGCGCTTTTTCTTGTTTTTCTCCTTCGTGAAGGATTTGCCCCGCGTCACAATCAAGTCCGCGTTTGCCCGCGCGCCCCAGTCACCTGCACCAGACTTGGCATCGTAGCTCATATCTCTCAATCGATCATCTTGAAATTCGACCTTGTCGGACCTTACGCGCTGAAATCGCTCGCCTTGTTTCGGACCCTTGCTCTTCTTGGGAGGCGAAGGAATCTCGTCCATATTCACATCCTGAGTACGCTCCGCATCAGACGCTTCAGGTTCTTGCACGGGAGGATTTCCCATAGGCTTTTTCTCTTCTTCTTCTTCTTTTGCAATTTGGTCTTTTGGCTGTTTCTCCTTTGACTTGGACTTCTTCTTGGACGCAGATTCTTGACCATGAGACGCCTTGGGCACCTTGCGCTCTTTCACACGGTCTTCCTCAACATGCATATCTTCAGAAAACGAATTGTAGATGTCAGAGCCTTTGACCTGAAGAGCGGAATGGACTGTGCTCACTAGTGCATTGGAACGCGCTTCAGCGTTCCGAGTTTGTTCTTCCAAGGATAGATTGGGGAACTTGGCCGCCAATTTTGCCGCAAGCTTGGGCACATGAGTATGGAGGAAAGCATGAACCAATGTCACAGTTTCTTTTGAGGTTAGTTATGCCATGACGTACCTGCGGAAAGTGAAACAGAGCTGCTAGCTTCAGGTGCAAGCGAGTCTGTCATGTTGTGCAGGGAGAGCAAAAAAAAAGGTCGGATTTCTAAAAATTTCATGAGTCACCTCCACTTTTAACAAATGTCAAGCCAACCGGCGCTGGCTTGGCGACGAGGTCAAGGCGCCTAACCCTGCGCCTTTTTCTCCACAAGACCGATACACATTGAAGACAGAGGCTTCGTACTCATCCTTCTCTCCATGAATAACTCTACATATCTTGAACTGAAACGCGGGAAAATGGAGCACGCAGATCTGGCCTATGAGATCCAGAAGGTGTGTTGACATAGAGGAAGGCTAACACCACAGAGAGGAGCGCTTCGTGGTGCAGCTGTGTGGACTATAGTCGGATTCTCTTGCGTTTTTGTGGCACATCATCTGCTTCCCTCATTCAAGTACGTCTCTATGCAAAGTAACATTACAGGCGTCACACACTTGCTCTTAAGGGCCTACTCACAGTTTCATGTGCGTGGAACGACAGCATAACTTACAGCAGCCACTTGTATCGGAATTGTTTTTGGAGCTGAACGTGAATTGCAAAAATACGAGCATGACAAGCGCAGCTATGATAACTTGATTCGAAGCCGTGCTATGCGCGAATTAGGGCAGCGTGGCATTCTGGCAAGTGAAACAGAAATCACCAAGTGGCGCGAGGAGTTAATAAACTCAAAAATTGCCGCTCATAGTCATGTCAATTCATCGTAGATCAAACAAGAATCTAGCCCGGTAAGTACTTGAAGGGGATGCGTTGACTCTTGAGGGCCGTCCTACATCCTCTGTGCCTATCTCCACACGCTTACGGTGTGTGAGGCTCAAGCGCTCCACATTTGCGCCCCGGCTACGTCATGGCGACGACGGACATATCGCCGCGCAATGTGCCGTTGCACGAATACGTGCATTCCCATGTACTCACAGAGGATAGTGCATTTGGTAAGTAATTTGTGCTGATGCAAGACATTACGGCTTTGTATAAACAAAACTTTAATGCACAAGACTATGTGAAAAATTTTTTGGGGCCGGATAGCCCGGATCATCCGCCTAGTGAATCGCCCGGAAAAGCCTCGGTCGACAGTAAGCTGCGGGTGGCACTTAGTCGACTCAACATTTCCGTCAAAGAAGTGGACCAGAAAATCCATGAATTGGTGATACAACACTCTAACGAGTTTCTTGAAAGCATCACCAACATATCTGTATTGCACCAAAGTGCGCAAAAAATTCACAAGGATTCAGCTGCAATAAATGAAAGTGCTCTAGTGTATGTAACTAAATTGTCTAACCACAGAGCGCGACAAATGATTCATGAGCCCCTTGAGTCTATTCGGAAACATCAAGAAGAGTTAAAACAAATGCATGGGATGGACGAGCTGATCACTCGCGTTGAATCCGTCATGCATGTTTTTCATCGTCTTATTAGTATAATGGACGATGTTGCTGAATGTGACATTACGGTACATATGCAAGATGCTGCCGTTTTGGATCAACATGCCACAAAAGTGGTCACAGCTTCACTCTTGTTGGAAGAATTGGACATTCTTCTTCCACATGGCTTAATCTTTGGGCATCACAACACTTCTATCGCTACTTCCAAGTCAGCACAGGGCGTCTTGGACTTGGATATCGTGAAACCATATGTGTCCCAAATAAATCCAATGAAAACAATGCTTCGTGAGCAAATCGAAAACTTGCTCTTATGTGGGCTGCGAAATCTCTCGCCTAGTTTGCTTGGTGCTGCACTGCAAGCGGCATGCTCCCTAGGCTTGCTGAACATTGTCATGCAAAATTTGTTGAACGACTTGACAGATGTACTAACGGATCGCACCAATGCAACGCTAGATCTTTTTTCTATTGGAAAGGAGCTTGGCGAAACACAGCCACCTTTGATTTCATCAAGTACTTTTTTCCCTCTGTATTCGGCTCGTGACAATAAAACGAGCGCACATGAAACGCAGGAGCGCTTACAAAAATGGTCTACTTTGGTATGGCAACGCATTCGGACTTTGATTGTGGATGAATTAGCACCTATTTACATCAAGGTATACATGCTAGAGCGCGTCTTGAGCTTGAAGCAAGGCAAGACCTTGAGTGAAACTTATTTGGGAATGATAAGTAAGGAGCTCAAACAGTCACCAACCGACTTGCTTTGGACTTCATTTTGCACCCTTCTAGAAAGCGTATCGAGCAAGTGCATGCAAGAATCAGACTTTTGGAAATACATTTTCGTGCGATCGTTTCCCAAATTTTTGTCCATTTTCCATGAGCTCTTGTCGCGTGTTTCTATGTTTTCGGATCATTCAAAACAGATACACAATCCGATACCTAAGCCCATCCACAAATATCTATCAAACCTCTCAAGAGAATACCTCATATGCTTTGTCAAGCGGTGGGAGGAAGCTCAGCATCATATATGTTCATGTTTTACCCCAAGTAATAAGAATCTCCAGAACATGGAAAAAGTTGTGCAACTCATTGCCATGTTGCGCACCGATATCGAAGAATGTGTTTTCGACAAAATCTTGCTCCAAGAAATTACTCAAACGGCTACAGATGTAATGTGCAAATTTATCAATCAACTTCGTGCCATGATTTGCCAAGACGAAAGTGCATTTACTCTAACAACGCAACAATTTACGCAAAGCCAAAGCATTAACGTGGGCGTGGGTCAGATACTCAAACAAATTTTCGAATCTATGTCTGAGATGAATAAGCTTAGCTTCTTAGAAGTGAAAAGCATGGCATCGGAAACCAAGCGCATGGTTACTCAGACGATGCAAGAGGCTTTGCGAGGGCCACTTTTACTTTCATTCGGACTCGAAATGAGCGCCATACTTGGTCGTATTCATCGATTACGTTTGGAAGCAACAGCAATCGATCAACGTCCCAATTCAAAAGGAACAGATACGAGTGCATATATGCTGGAATTTTGCAACAGGGTCCGAAACTTACGAACAAAGTTTTTGCCTTCATATATTTTGCCAGATGGACATTATCAATGGTAAGCTACTTCATACTGACTCACATGTGCAGGGCATTAGATTTGGCTTCTAGTACTATAACTACTTTCGTCATGCATGCTTCTCTTTTACGGCTATCTGCCAACTTTGACAAGCATCAGATTATTTCTGATATGACCGCGCTGGAACTGACACTTTCGCAGTTCTTGTCCGAGACAAGTCGACTCTTGAGTTGTAAGTCATTGACATTGCATGATTGTGATGTTCCTTTTCAAGTCGCCCGCAGCTTTCGGACATTGTTATTTGAGCCGACCGCCGCCTGGAATCAACCTGCGAACTTTTGTCGTAAATGGCATCTACCCAAAGTGATCATTGTCCAGCACCTTTTGTCCAGATCTTCTACTCTTCCGCTCGCTAATGATATTCGTGGTATGGGAAAACATGCTTATGTCGATTGGGCTATTAGTACAAGTCGTGTGAAGCACGCGTTTTTCTCGGAACGTGTTGATAAAACTATGATTCAAGAATTGCACCATTGGCTCGAATTGGAAGGAAGAAAAATGGATATGTCTACCTTGGATAAGATGGATAAAGAGGTTCTATCTTGCTTGGTTGAATGGGACACTTTTTTGACCAAAACATTGTAAGATGAAATGAATTGGATATTTGTAGGTATGTTGGACAAGTACAATATCGCGCAGAGTAGGATTAGTGCAAAAGTTTGACTTTACCCGGACTCGAACCGGGGACTTTCACGGTAATCACCGCTTGTCACGATCTTATGTTAACGTGATACTCTAACCAACTGAGTTATAAAGTCAACACATAAGAACCGACGCACTTAGAGTATTATATCCACTGTTTAAGTCGTTTCGAGCCAGATGTCACCGCAGTGTCGGTCTCCACTCTTTGCTATTCGGCGAAATCGTAGTCATACTATCTTTCGATAAAGTCATAGCACCTTATAATTTGTATTGTAACAGGTACACTCAGAACATTTTAGAAAGTCTCGTCGCTATAATCTCATCACCACATTTAAACTCGTTCGATGATGACCGCAATACCCTGACCACCACCGATGCAAGCGGATCCGAGGGCATACTTCTTGTTGAGGCGGTGGAGATTGTAGGTCAAATTGGAAAGAATCCTAGCACCGCTAGCACCAAGAGGGTGACCCATGGAAATAGCTCCACCAAACACGTTTGTCTTCTCGATTGGAAGCTCAAGTTCCTTCTGGACCGACAGGAACTGAGCTGCAAAGGCCTCGTTTACTTCAATAAGATCCATGTCAGCAATGCTCAAGCCGCTGCGCTTCATGGCGAGCTTGATGGCATCAACAGGACCAATGCCCATAATCGAGGGCTCACAAGCAGTCACGCCATAGCTAACGATGCGGGCGAGAGGCTTAAGGCCGTGTTTGTTAATTGCCTCCTCGCTGGCAATCACATTAGCAGCTGCTCCATCACAGATACCGGACGCATTTCCCGCAGTAACGACCCCGTCCTTCTTGAACACAGAAGGAAGCTTGGCGAGGGTCTCGATGGTCGTCTTAGGGCGAGGGTATTCATCCACCTCGAAAATTTCGGTCGCCTTCTTCACTTTAACTTCAATGGGAGTAATCTCATCCTTGAAAGCGCCATCTTCTTGGGCTTTAGCCCAGCGCTGCTGCGATTGAAGCGCAAATTCATCACACTGCTGACGCGTAATACCGTACTTTTCCGCGAGGTTTTCAGCGGTAATACCCATAGGGGTAGGGACTGGAACCTGGTCCACAAGCGCGATAGCCAAGCTGTCGACGAGCTTAAGGTCAACACCATAACGAGTGTTACCGAAACGGACACCGTGCAGCGTGTATGGGGACAAGCTCATGTTCTCGGTACCTCCTGTGAGTACGACGTCTGAATCACCGACCTTAATTTCATGGATGGCATTGATAACGGCCTGGAATCCACTACCACAAAGACGGTTGATCGTCAAGGCAGGAACATTTACAGGAAGGCCAGCATAGTGACCAACATGACGGGATGTATAAGGGGCAGTGTGGTCAGTGTGAGCGACCACACCAAACACAGTCGAAGAGACAGGCGTGTTAGCCGGCAGCTGCGCAAGAGCAGCCTTGGCAGCATAGCCACCAAGCTGAGCTGCAGTGATGTTGCTAAGCTTACCACCAAAAGATCCAAAGGCGGTACGCTTTGAGCCGACAATAAAGGCGTTTGTCATACTTGAGAGGTGATGGGCGAAGGGACGAAGCCGGTTAGCCGGTGTACAGTGTAACCCAAGGTAGGTTTCGTGGAACAAGATGCGGGGTCACCTCTGTGGTCTCGTAATAGTGACATTCCCGTAATTTCCCGTCAGACTTGAACCAATAAAATTCGCATGCATAACAAAATGCATGAATACATGCAGCTTGCTAAGTCCAATGTTCAGTAACGGCCACTATGGTGACAGCCTATCTCCGTTTAGGATGATTGAGCCAACTCAGCGTCATCTAGGGGTACAGTCACCACTGTGCCATCAGATAGACGTCGCCGCAATAGGCCCTCTTTTGTAGCTTCCACAGCTTCATGCAACTGCTCGGCGGCGAGCATTGGCGCCTTATCTTCACCGCCTCCAGATAGAGTCCGAACATGACGAGCTGCATTAGCAGTAGGCCAGAGCTGTTCATCTGTTTCACTTTCAGGAATACGCTCTGGATGCTTGCGATCCAAAGATTGCGTGCAGTGACGAAGGGTAGCAGGTTTGTGTAGGTCAACGTAGGGGGAATCGTCGTCACCATTTTCGTCAGAGTCATCGGCACCATGTCCGGCAGGATCATGAGAACTAGGTATGTCATCCGAGTCCGAGTCATTGTCCACAGCAGATTCAGATGGGATTTCGCCCATATTGCCTCGACGAAATTCGGCGGCCCAATCAGCAGGTGTGAGGTTCTCTTGCTTTTCAGGTTGATGATTGTCCACAGAAGCTGTGGATGTGAACTCGAATGCAGAACGTGAGTCAGCAAAAGGACCCCATTCGTCCTGATCCGTATCGCCCTGCATTACCATGGCATCACTATCGCCGATAAAAGAAAGCACATTTCCATCAGCTTCTTCTTCATCCGCGTCAGTCCGCATCTGCGAAGAAAGATACTGAGCAAATGAGTGATTATCGGTGTTAGAGTACCAATTGTCAGAATCGAGGTTCGACCAGTTTTGCATACCCATACCACCTGCAGAAGGCCTACCCCCTGCGAGAGGCATTGACTCTTTTGCACGGGACTCAGACAATTCTTCCTTCATGAATTGCTCCCATCCTTCAGTAAAGTGGTCCTGAACCAAATTACCAATTTCCATAGGGAAGCGTTCTAATAACCTGATGATTTCTTCCGCAATCAAATTCAAGTGGCCCATGTAGCCAAGTCGGATATGTCGCACATCTTCAGAAGATATGCGATTGCGACGAGCGCCCTCGAGAATTGTTTCCACCAGGTGTGCATCCTTGAATACCGATATTATCAGTTTACGGTTGATAGCCACATCGATGTCGCTGTTGAAGAGCTGCTGGATAATATCGTACACAACATTGTGTAGAAAATTGTTCCATGGGTAGGAAAGCAACATGTCAATAAGAGTAGGGATAACCTGGAAAGTCTGAAACTGTGTCTTCAGGAAGTTACCAACGATTTGAACATCGCTGTCGTTTTGTGAAGAGCGAGGACGTGCGAACTGCGCAATCATATCAGCCAAAGACATACTGGACAATGCAGAGGCGATGCTTTCAGCATCGCTTTCATCGTCTTCCTGATCGTTTTCAGACGACAAGAAAGATGGTGATCGATCTTGATCGGAGACTTCCGCCTCGTTAGTACTGGAGGCCTCATCTGGCGACCACTCAGCACTAGCCTGAGTGTTGGTGTTGCTCTGATCATAATCATCTTCGCCTTGCAGACTGCGAGCGAGCGCATGAAGACCTTCCAGACCACCCAACAATGAGCCAGACGACGAGTACTTTGGCCCAGAGTTCGGCGGACGGTTCAATAGCGCCATATTCGAGCAATGCAAAAGTTCGGCGTACAGCTCAGCAATACAGTATCGTGTCTGCGTAAGCGGTTCAATTTCGCCCAACGACGTCATGATTTTGTCAGTTGACTCGAAAGGAAGCCGCATTTTTTCCTGGAAATCGGGTATCTTATCTGCCAGCGCATGAAGAAGAGGACCAAGATGCACGATGCCCATCTTTTCAGCGACTTCATCCATAGCTTCATCGAGGCCTTCAGTATCGGCATCATCTTCCATAGGAAGGTCATCCAGCAAAAGTTCAGGCTTTCGTTCCGACTCGGGTCCGTTCAGTTCTGGTGAAGTCGGATCGGAAGCCCGGTCTCTTTGGCGCTGACTCGAAACTTCCTGCTGTCGGATCACCAAATAGTTTCTGAGCGTGTGAAACAAGTGCTGCTCAAAGTAGTCACTGTTGTTTTTGCGAATAAGCTCGATAAATACACCAGCACAACAGACAAAAGACGAAACCAAAGCTTTAGGTGACAATGTGCTCTTGATGGAACTGCATCGCCTTAGTATCGATGGTCGAATGGTGGCGGTGGAGTCACGAATGCCTTTTCCCGACATAGACAAACTGCGAGACATGGAGAGATGGCGATTCTGAAGGTTTTTCATGGCTTGGTGAAACTCCCACACATCTTGTTCTTCCTCTTCTTCTTCCACAGCCGTGTCTTCCTCCAGGGTTTGCAAAGGCGTATCAAGTTTGCGAGAAAGATCCTGCGAGATACTGTTACGGCTAGAAGCACCGACCTCATAGTCCAGCATGAAGCTCACCATTTTGTCCACATTTTCTTGTGATGCCAATTCTCGCACAAGCAAGTTATTGACGCCACCAGCACCGATGAGCATCTCGCCCGGACCCCCAAACGTTTCCTGGATCGTGACCTGATTTAGCGAGGACGGTGATGGGGCGGAAAGAGAAATGATGGTTTTCAAAAATTCAGATGCGGCCTTGTGAGAGTCGGGCGACACAAAAGGCGACAGTAAAGAAACAATTCGCGGAATCAATCCATGCTCGGCTAGCCAAGCCACAATCCCTGAGTCTGGAATTGTATCCTCACACTGAATAAGGCGGTATAAGAGTTCAACCATCGCTGGTGTTTCAAAGTGATTCGTGAGGCCTTCGACAACATTGGGCTGTGTCTTTACAAACGCAAGCATTTCATTCGGATGACGCTCGAGCAATGCCATATTCACTTTGGACCAGTACCCAGCAAGAACTGAGAAACCAGGGCCATGTGTTCGCGCAGAAATGCGATGTTGATTTGAAGATTCATTCGTCTTCTTATCCGATGCTTCATCATCTTGCTTTCCGCCGACATACGCGCTCATTGTGAGCGGATGCTCATGAAGTGGGACTGGTCCACGTTGATAAAATGCATCGGCGCTCAACATTGTATCCCAAAATGGGCCTAGCAATGTATTGGCATCATCCAACATGATCTTCGCGACACCTGGAATTTCACAACTAAGCACCTCTGATGCAATGAAAGGATATCTGTACATTTGTTAGCATCACTTCCATACATACTTAAATCCAACATTTTGCTCAGCCTCGCTATTCGAAACATCGCTGATTTCGACGTTTCCCACGACATAGTCAAGCAGACGAGGCACAATGCCCGGTCGTTGGAAAAATTCAACAAGCTTTTCATTATTCGCTTTGCTTTCTTGTAATACATCCGCGTCGTTCAACACATCCTCCAGCGTGACATCCTCTTTTTCTAAGAGGCTGTCAATCGTGGAAGAGGAGGCTAAACCAAATCTCCAAAACATGGCCTAGACA